TTGTCGTTTGCAATAACTTATTGTCGTATTCGTTCTTTTATCTACTCGATAGAAGCATTTAGTCGTACATTTGATGCCAGGTCACCTTCTCGCGTACCTCTTAGGGAGCCCCGCATTTGTGTCTGTACTCATGGAAGTAAATTCCCCGGTGTAGCCGAGAGCCACAAACTTTCAACAGGTTCGAAATGGCCAATTTCTCTCATATATACTCATATTTTATTAATATCACCTACAAAGTATTGCTAATAACTATATGTAATTTCAATAAGGAAACTTATCTGGCTACATGTAAATTCAATATCAATATACTGAGATTCAAAATATGATTAAAAGAAGAATTGAAAATTGCACTGTCTGAAAAATCTTTCTAAGGTCTCAAAATTCAGAAAAGATAATAAAACCTGCAGCTTTTGGTATTTACGACGCACTATGCATATGAGTAAACGATAATATTATCACTAGCTTTGATATAATAAATTATGTCTCGAGATATACTGGCACACGTAACAGGGGCTTTATCTGCGTATAATAAAATACTATTTTATAGTATTGTTTTGATCCGAAAGGGAATTCAGTTTATGTTTAATTCTGGTTCTTTCTATGTCTGCTGGTTGAAATCGCCATACCTCTGAGTATTACCCATTACCCAAAAGAACCATAAGTCATTCACTATGAGGAGGAAAACTGATATTCAAATGCCAATTCACACTTGTCATTAATCTCACTCGTTTTGTTTTGTTTTTCCACACGATTTTGGACTTGTGTTAATAATAATTAAACCAGTACATTCATTTTGAAATACAGGGTTACCACTAAGTTCTGGAGATTGGTTTGTCATTTCAATATTTTTCAATTCAGTTGAAACTTCCAGCAAATGTACATTGTATAATTCTGAATTGACAGACAATGTTCCATTTCACTTTTACAATTTATTTTATTGTAATTATAAAAAAAACGTAAAAGTGGTCCGCTGGTCAGCAGATTTTGACTGACGTTAATTTGAAAATGTCCTGCTGAAACATATTTATCTTGCCTAGAGTGTTGGTTCAAACGTATTGTACTAGAGGCAGAACAGTACTCTTGAAGTCATTTATTCAGAAGTATTCTTCATTGCTGGGAGGATCATTTCATTTACAATGATTTCCATAGGCCTGGACACACATGCATTGTTGTCAAACCTAGTCCATAAAGACGCCTTCCAGTCCTCTTTTTGGTATCCCTTGAAAATTTGCTCAAGCTGTTGAGATCATTCCCTCATCGGAACCAAACTTATGATGATCCCTCATATGATGCTTCAACAGTCAAATTTAGTGAACCTAATGGTGGTTCATCTGGTAAACATTATGTGGTGGATATGGGGCATGAACAACTTGTGTGAACCCTTATTCTGCGGCGAGCGTAGGAAAACTACGGGCCCCTTGCGGTCTCCGTACGGCGTATACAGATTTTTACAGGACGCAGGAAAGGCGTAGAAATTATAACTCGGTGTTATAATATTTGTTCATTTCTGAGGTGTCCGTAGAAATCAACTGGCTCAACAAGATTGAATCATTATTTGTCAATGTTTCACGATCACTTTTCATTTGATATTACATCCTAGCACTATAAATAACATCTATAAATTGTCCTGATGTGAATAAAATGAAAAAAAGTATTATTTATCAACAGAAATTCAAAATTCATCGTGCGGCTGCCGTGGGAAATGTGACAGCAAAAATATGAGAGCGCAGAAATTCTACGGCGAGCGTAGAAAAGCTACTGGCCGCAGAAATGATAGACCGCACGGCGGCCGTGGGAAATGTGACTGGGGTGTTAATGTTTATATTTGATATGACATTTTAGAATCTGACTTTTTTCCCATATTGGGGTGACCTTTTTACATTCAAAAAGTAAATGCTTTGAAGTATGTCTGCATTTACAAATGAAGCAAGAACTTTGAATATTACTGTTCCACTTAGAAAGTAAGTTGTTTAAAATCTTATCAAATTCTAAATTAAATTCTGCAAAAGTATCTATAGTTAAGGTTTATAGTTTTTTGAAGGTAAATATTGTTCCAGATTTTGTTATCTTGAACATTAAATTCTTTGTTCCATTTAAACTTATTTATGTTTTTTCAAATTTGAAGTTAATAAATCCATTGTAAAATAATTTTGCTTTCTTATCATTTAAATCAACATATCTGTTTCCGATTAAGAACGTCCTTCTGATTTTAAAAGTATTTAGGTATTTGAGTTTTGTTTTGTCAAAATTTTTACACAAAGACATTTTTACTTTTTTGATTACACTCAACTCAGAGATCCAATTTTCTTACTTTTAAGTGATTCAAGAAAAATATCTGAACTTTTAAAATTGCCATCATTCTCAAAAAATCTTTGATTAAGATAAAACCCGATTCAATCCAATTTTTGAAGTATAAGATATCATTTTTATTAGATATATTTTATTTAACCATAATATTTCATTAAAAACATCAGATTTGTTTATTTTCTTAATATTTGCAAAGGTTTTGCATTCATTGAAGCTGCAAAACACATCTTCGTAAAATGTGGTAAATAGGTTAAGTTTCTGTATCTGTTCTTTATCAAAATGAATGTGTAAAAATGTTATCAAACTCAGCCCTGTTTTTTCAATGAGATATTTTGGGAAATGTTGCCAGGATGTTTCACTTGTGATAATTCTATTTATCCTATGCCAAGTAGAGTTTTAGGGAGATAAGTTGGTAAGATATATCCCATATCATGATTTTGAGGTTTCCATATCCAGAACCTCCATATCTCCCGCCATATCTCCCCGCTTCGGTGCATATCTTCCCGCTTCCGGTAAGTAGTGGAAATGCAATAAAATGACTTTGCATATGAATGATTTGTTTATTTTTACACCTTGCACTATCGAAATGGTCATATGCCCCTGAAAACTCTACTTGGTATAGGATAAAGCAGTTATGTACGGTCGGTTTGGATATTGGGTTCATCCCTCGTGAGATATGCACATCTACCTTCGGTCCCTACGGTTCCTCAGGTAATGTTAGTTTTCTCAGTTTCCATATTTGGAGTTTTTTTTTAATTAATTAATTTAGAATCCCAATTAAGACTATGGCTTGACTGTTTATCCCCACTGATGAAAATTCCTAATATATTTATTGTATTTTTTATATTTCTGCCTAATTGAATACCGTTACATTTTTCCATATTCAACTTTAGTCCAGATACAATTGTTTGCTGCAACTGTTCACACGTCACACTTGTACCTGTTAGCAATCGCAAACCTGGTCAGACTTAATGCATATTGCTGCTTGGTTGACCAATGAAAAGCCATCTTTAGTTGTTTTCAATAATCAACATTTTAGATACTTTTCAAACAACTGGCACTGAATTGTAAATGATTCTGCTGAATGGGTTGTAAAGGATTCCAATGTCTTTTCAATATTTTTATGGGATAAAATGTTTCAAATAAAATACTTCCCATCATCTCATAATCAAAATCTTCATATTGTTATATCAGACAAAGTCAGTAGATGTTTCTTGAATACTTATAAATGTTGCATCCCAATGCATTTTTAATTTGAACCTAGAAAATGAATTTTTTTGCCAGTTTTCACCAATCATCTAACTTTTGGGGCTGTGAGGAGGGGGTCTACAACTACAACTCTTCTTTAACTAGAGAGCATAACGTTAGAAAAAAGTGTTATTTTACTGACCGCCTTTATACTTTAAAGAAAGTGAAATGTAAGAACCTGATTATCAAGTGATGTTGCCATAGCAACTAAGATTTTTTCTTGATTTTCACCACACAGATTAAGCATTGTACTTAAATTAATTTCTGAACGTTTCAAGTCTATATCTTTATTAGTGTCTGAGATATAAAAGTGTTTTATAGTCCCCCCAGTAGATTTTATTAGGGGGGTATGAAAAATGGTCTGTAGAGAGTTGCCCAAGGGTACCGGCATTCCGTGGTTTTGAGGTCCAAACCCTATATTCGTGCTGAAAAAAAAACAAAAAAACATTGTAATCCGAAAAATACATTAGCTTTGAACTTTCTGCCAGAATAGAATTAGAATCTGAAACGGGTCATTTGGTTATGAAATTGCTGTCACTTTATGTAAATGTAAGTGATTCATATTGCTTACCATGCTTTATATCCTTACTTCAAGTACCCGCAAACGTGTTATTTGCACGAATCGAAGGCTATATTCTTATCGGAAAGTGGCCGATTCTGCCAGTGTTACATATATTTGTGCCTGAAGATCACCAGTCTGTCTTCTATTTAATGACTTCATCGATTCATAAGGAAAGTACTCACAATATGTGCGAAAACCACAAGTTAAAAGAGGTCAATTAAGTAGCAATTGACCGAATAACATTTTTAGATTAAACTATTTGGACATGTCCAAAATATTCCAGTTAATGATGTTGAATTGTTATTGGAACGATTTGGACTTGTAGAAACGTTGAGGCTTAACGATTTGAAAGAAGGAAACAGTAATTGAAAGTAAGACATAATATGTGAAGGTTGATTTATGGAATCATTACAGAATTTGATACTTTAAATCAAAATGGTTAAAATCGGACATGCAAGTTTAATGCAAGTGAATTTCACCCCCCCCCCCTCGCCCCATGGCAACGCCCATGCTTTTGAATATATTATTTTGGACCAAATCCTTCCTAAAATGAACTGAATTAGCTAAAAAATATCTGCGGTACCATGTAGTTGAAGTGATTTAGATTATCTAGACGTAATCAAAAGTTCATGACCTGCAGAACCAGATGGCAACCTTTATAATTTAAATCTTTTTCAACTGAAATTAAACATTACATAAAACCTGTGCATACTGAACACCTATAAAGTCACAAAAAGTGTTCATTGTAGGTAGGTGTTCACTACAGAAAGATGTTTTTATATATTCTTATTGTGGTTCAGGTGCCATGTTGGCTATGCTGCATTCTGATTGGTTGAGATTATAGCACGGTCATGTTTGAATCCTCATTTATAAATGGTGAATGACAACGTCTACCCAAAGTTTGCACGCGCGCAATATTGACGTAATTTATGGCTGAAATCGGGAAAACAAAAAGGTGTGATATTATTTCAGAATTGCTTATAACAACTATTCACAAAAATGAAACACAAATCTATTCATGCAAGAGTTTGTTTTAAAGTCATGTCATCTATATAGTGGCCCACTCTGTATCGCCTACTTACATGTGTAACTGATATACAGTATGACTAATTGTATAATGCATATAGGAATTTAAATCAACTGAATTTATTAGCCACGTTCGTATATATACGTCTGCTTTTCAGCATTTCTTCCAGAGCGCTCCTGCTTCGGAACAAAGGCTGTCAAATACAAGTAAGTACGTTCAATGATTTTCTGAAAAAGCAAATTTAGTTCAATTTAGTATTGATATTTCTTAAAAATTGTTAAACTGCATGAAACGGTAAAGTTTCAACATGTAAATCGAAAAGTGGAAATCAAGTCACGGTATATATCTACAGAAACATTTCTTCTCGCCAAACTTCCTAGCTCTTTGCTGATCGTGCAAAGAGAGTTCAACCTCAGTCACATTTGCTGCGGCAACCTTACCGTCTATCACTTCTGCGGCAAGTCACATTCTTGAGATCGCCTTGGAATTCCTGCCGTCAGATACTTTAGCAGTAAGATTTGCCACGGCAGTCATACGGAGTATTTTGATTTGGAGGACACTTAAAAACTACGGTTGTTGTACGATGATAACGCATGATTATAAGATAATATTTATATTATGTTTTCATCATAAACCTGGAAGTGTTAATGAGACCTTGAATTACATATGGTTCTTTAACTATATCTATTAAAATAATGTAATTTTTCGTTCCCTTTTCTAAGCTTTTAAAAATACCTTTATCCACTATAGCGGACGTATCTTCAGATCCAACCCCGTGATTTACGAGAAGGAAAAACAAAATATGATCAATATCTGGTTGGTGCTGCTAGGCTTGACTGTGACAGGACAAGCTGTAGTTGGTGAGACATTCTAGACATTGTTTTGATTTGAGTTAATTCCATAAACTCGAACAAACAAATGATAGTGTTACATTTAGAACTCCTTAAATACATATCTTATTTTTACAGTTTTTAATATTGAATTTATTGACCGGAGTTGTTCTTTCCAACCCAAAAATGAGTTGAGTCTTCGACTAATGAGTCGATTTGCGTCAACGTGAAGGCCTCAACCCGCTATGAATCAACTCATTGGGTTATCGTCCCACCCCTACTGAAAAGTTCAGGTTCTTTGCAATTGGAAGCAATTAGTACACACAAGCTCGACGTTTTGGATATTTGAATTTTGTTTTCCTGCCATATGATCAGTTTTGCTATTAGATGTTTCATTTTTGCTGTTTTGTAACACTTGTTTAAGCCATTCCCTTTTGGCATTTGAGCTTTGATTGGTAAACAAATTGTAATTCTTCGCTAAAATGATCGTTTAAATAACTGCTTTGTAGAGGCACTACGAACTCCTGATGATGAGGGGTTTCGCCACGTACCTTTAACCGTTTCCGACAGAACATTTCTTGCATTCTCCGTGAAGGCCTGTCATGATGCCATCCTAGATCTTCAACTGACACCTGGCAGTACCGTAGATGACAGCTACGAGGTTGTGCTTGATGGTTTTCACCCAGGCCATAAATCTGTAATACGTGACGATGAGAGAACAAATCAAATGGCTCATAAAGATGGGGCAATCTTGAGCTGTAATGAGTTTAACGATTTTTGGGTATGCAAAAAGTTACTGATACGTGTTTATTTTTGTTTTTTAGTTTATTTTAGGTTTCGTTTAGGTCTGCTTTAATTGTTTAGACCTATGTGTTTCATTTAAATGTATAACATTCTCATATTAGGGGTATAAATCGATTTATAGAACGAAGTTTTTCAGTAATCTGATTGCAAAACTTAAATCAACTTTTAGTTTAACATATTATACAGAGGGCCGTTCTTGGTACAATTGCAACTTCAACCGTCGTTACTTACGACCGTTCCAAGAACGACTCCCAGGCCAGACGGTATTTCAAAATGGCTTCCTTTAACGACCTGTAATAGTGTTCTGAACTTCCGAGACATGGCTATCGTGTTAGTAGAGCACTATATAGCTAATGTACGGGTAGTTTTGGGAAAACATTCTTATATGCCAAATGGGTACATTTAGTGTTTGTATATGACTTATTTATTTATTCTCCAAGTACATTTACACCCCTTGGGGTCAAGAACATGTACAAACAAAAATTATAACAATTAAGGAAGGAAAAAGTAGACATTTACATGGAAAAACTACACAACTACTAGTATTACTATTAATAATGATGATACATTGGTGCACTAGAGATATAGCTATTGGTACTGGATGTAAATATATATTTTGCTACATTTATACAGTTTTGATCTTTACAAGGCATCAAATAAATAAATATATTTTCTTGTACTGGTATTTCCATTTTAGACAACATTATACTTCTTTGTTTTTTGTATTTCGTACAGTAAAGGAGATAGTGTTCTTCATTTTCTATAATATTGCATGTTTCGCATGTTCTCTCTTCCAGAGGTGTTGGTTTTGGTCTTATGTAGCGACCGAGTTCAAGTTGGAGATTATGTTCACTTATTCTAGGTTTAGCAAACTCTCTACGCAGGTCAAAACGTTTTATAACATCTAAATAATTTTCATGGGCAAAGTTACTTTTGAATGTGTTATAAGTTCTTAATTTGTTATTGCACTTTCGTTTATATGTAGCAAGTTGTAAAAACTTTCAAGCTTAATCGATAAATTGGTTCAAACAACAAATGAACAAACAAACGCTCATTTGATAAAAGACACACGGGGGTATGTTATCAAGGATGAGAAACTGATCGGGGACAGTCATGTATTCTGACTCGCCTGTTAATCATTGAAATGAGAGATGAATATCCACTCTAAATGTATAGGTATTGAAAGGTATTATACATAAACGGCAACATGCGGAATTAAGGCTTTGAAAAGGTGTCAAAAACACTTTGATAGTTATATCACTTGTGATGCGCTCGATTACGCTGGTTACCGAAACGGTTCGTTTTGGTAACAAAATGTCTGAACGTCGAAGGTACGATTTTTCTTTTTTCCTTATTTCACGCGTTGTAGGCAGAATACCAATGACGTTTTTTCTCACAAACGTATATCAGTATCATATGTTTTAGAAAATGTATATGTTTGCGAAAAAATAGCCCAGAAGACAACAAAATCGTCGATTTAATTCCTCACTTAAGTTACATAAACGATTTGGGTTAAAAGTGCAGATCTTCGAAATACCGTTTATGTAACTAAAGTGAGGAATTAAATCGACGATTCCGTTGTCTTCTGAACTATTTGTTCGCAAATATGTACATTTTCTTAAACATATGATACTGATACACGTTTGTGATAAAAATGTCGTGGGAATTCTGCCTACAACGTATGAAATAAGGAAAAAATAAAAATCACACCTTCGATGTTCGGACATTCTGTTACCAAAACGAACCGTTTCGGTAACCAGCGTAATCGAGTGGATCACCAGTGTAAATAAACCTTCAAGCTTTGATGGCTTTCAAGACGTTTTGGTACACATAATTCTCTCATTCTGGACCTAGGCTATTAAATTCATGTAACAGTTGTATTTTGCAGACAAGAAAAAGATAGTGTTTGAAGTGATGATAGTATAATATTTTGTTCACTGCATACATAATTAATCCAAACCTTCATGAATCTTGTCGGGTTTTACACTACATGTGTCAATAAATGTCAATAAATGCTGTCAAAATATCAGTACTTAATTTCAGTACTTAAAAAACTACGTATTTTAGGTCAGTTGGGCCAATGGAAATATTGAAGTTGGAACTGGCAAAGTGAAAGGAAGTGGCAGGTTTATGTCATGGACGGATACAACTCCTCATGCAGTGAATGCCATCAACGTGTATACTGGATGGGGGGCCACAGGAGAGTGGAAATTCTATGGTACACTATTTTTATGGGGCCTATTTTTATTAAATTATCAAAGAACCGCCTGTTTGTGTCACTATGTCATGTCTATGTCACTAAAACTTATAAAACTTGCTTTTGTGAAACGTGAACCCCCTAAGATCGGAAGGGGGCGCTGTAGCATGATTATGTCATCAACATGATTTTTTTCTTTCAGTTTTTAGCCATGTAATTCAAACTCAGTTAAATTTTCATCTGAATAGTTGACCTTTGATTTGAACTTCAAATTGACCTAAAAATGTAAGAATCAAAACGCAGCTGACAAATATTACACAGGAGCAATGGGATAGAAAATGCATCTTCAGGAATTTACATCGTGGATTGCGAGTACTTTTCAGTGGTATATCGTGGCTAGATAATATGCACTATCAGTTATAATACGAGGTTCAACTGTTTGGATTGCTAGGAGCTCCAATAAGCTCGTTCAAGACAATTTCGCAATTTCAGATTTAACCAGGATGAATATACAAACTCCTAATGACGAGTCGTATAGACATCAAGCTCTTGATGTTAGTGACCAAACATTCCTTGCCTTCTCCGTGAAGGCCTGTCATGATGCTAGCCTAGAACTACAATTGACAGCTGGTAGTACCGTAGATGACAGCTACGAGGTTGTGCTTGATGGTTTTCACCCAGGCCATAAATCTGTAATACGTGACGATGAGAGAACAAATCAAATGGCTTATAAAGATGGGGCAATCTTGAGCTGTAATGAGTTTAAAGAATTTTGGGTATGCTTGAATTGCTTACGTGTTTTATTTAAAGGTATTACATACTCATTCTCGAACAATGTTCAGAAGGAAGAGTATACAGTTTTTCAAAAAATGTGTTTGTAATACTGAGAAGACTGAATCAATATGAATAAATGAAAATAAATATTTTTATTGTAAAGTTTTGGATATTAGAATACTATCAATACCCTTTGGGCATGATATATTCGGTATTTTACAAGAAATAATCGATTGTTATATATTGTATCGAATCGATAAAACAGTTGAATACATTATTGCTCCGCTTTATCTATTTAGGTAAGTTGGGCCAGTGGAAATATTGAAGTTGGAACTGGAGATGAGTACGGAAAGGGCAGCTTTATGTCATGGACGGATACAACTCCTCATGCAGTGAATGCCATCAACGTGTATACTGGATGGGGGGCCACAGGAGTGTGGAAAATCAAGTGTAAATTATTTACCTTCATTTTCATCTATTTCCTTACTTTAAACACTATAAATCCGCAATAGTTAAAAGTATAAAGCAAAAGTAATGCAAATATAATGGCAAAAGAACACTGATGAATATAATAACCGATATCGCAACATTTGCATCTATAACAATTGACATTAACAAGCATGCCACCTTTTGCCAGAGTTATAATGATTGTGTTTTTTTGCTGCAAACAGTATTATATTTTCATATCACAGAAACCCATCTAGAAACACAATACGAAAAATGACACTCAAAATTCATTCAGAGCTCTGAATTAAATTTGCCTGAAAATGTTCATGGCCTAGATTGAACTAACATGCAGGATATGAAATCTAATTGTATTTTTATTTTTTGTTTGTAGTCTAATATGAAAACGAAGGTGCAAACATGTATATGGAAACAAAAGGACCGATGCACAGCGCAAGGAAATATATACATGTGTAACCATACATTGAATACTAGATAAGGAAATGAATAAATAAGTCGGTACCTAATCAGACGTGTTCAGTTATTTTTGGTGTATTTGATAAAATTATTATATACACAGAAAGGTCATGTTCCAGGCCCGTAGCCAGGGGAGCGGAGAGAGCGGCAGCCCCCCCCCCCATGGCCAGAAATATTCTGGTACTTTTCGAATAATTTTTTGCCAAAAATGTCAAAAAGCCCCCCCCCCCCCTTGGCAAAAGCTGCCCCCTTGGTAAAATCGCTGCCCGGTAAATCCTCGCTACCGGCCTTTGTTCAACACTAAACAAGAAGAGAATGAAAATGTGACAGTGAATGTTTCGTGACTGACCTTTTATGCTGGAAAAAATAGAAAATGGAAACAGGTTTTCTTATCAGTACCAAGCTACCATGATGAAATGTTGTGCTTAATGTGTTTCTTTTCCACATTGGATAGATGGCGCTGAACATCAACATGTAGCCTTATTGACCTAATTGGTATATTCAATGCGTAAATTTCATACAGGATGTCCATTAAATGTTAGTTTCTGTAATAAGTTATCAGCTTTTAAAGTTCACGTATGACCAATCGTATATCTTTATAAATTGATTTCAATTTTCTCTTGGCTCGGGTTAACTTATTTTGGAATGTAAACAAAAGCCTTTCGCATTCGAGCTATTTTCATTTTAAGGGCATCCGTGAAATATAAAACACGAACGGCTACTATCTGCCTTGAAAGCAGGCATCATTAGCACCTCAGAACTGCATTAGCCTAATAGGAATGATCTCATGGAATGAGACAGCAGAAAATTATTTCAATAATAAACCGCACAAACGAAGTTCGCCGTTCCATAATTCAAAACAATAGAGGCAATAGATTTATTATAAGAGTCCATACTGACTTACAGAATTAATTGCTATTCATACCTTAGAGCTAGTTAAATAAGACTAATAGTACAATAACGTCATTTCTAAGGGCAATATAGTGAAATATTGGACCGAGGGCAGACAATACAAAATGGTATAAGATTTTAATAAAGATATATCAACTACAAGTTTCCCTTATTACAATATAATCATTAAATATATACATTTGGCTTCAACCCAGTCATTCGTTTGCCGCAAACAACAGCCTTTACCAACTATTATGTGATGTAAAATACACCTTTCTTTAGATTCTTGATGCGTACTTCAGTTGTGAAATAAGTCTAAGTGCTAGATGTCTAATACTCGTTTCACTAAATAGCATGAGAGGTGAGCGGCCAATCATGCAGTGCCATAGATAGGTAGCTGCTCTGGGCTCTGTACTCCCTGTACTAATGGTTTTTGGAAGAAATTTTGAATAAAAAGGGGTAGCTGCTCGAGGCACTGTACTACCTATAAAAACTTATAAGGTGTCTTGGTGTTAGACCTGTTCTCAACGCCAAGGCACCGAAAAGAATGAAGGGGCGGAGCCCGGGGGCGGAGTTCAGTTAAGCTAAGTTCACACCAACGGCGCTTCGATGGCGCTTTAATGCGGCGTGCAAAGCGGCTTTGCACGTCGCTTTAAAGCGGCTTGTAAAGCGGAACCAAAGCGAAACAAAGCTTGATTAAAGCGTCGGGGTCGTAATAGGTCGTAGAAAAGCTCCGAGTAAAGCGGGATATTCGGCAAGAGCGCTAAAAAATTTAAACTGTTTAAGCGTTCGCACCAACGGCGCTTTGATGGCGCTTTAAAGCGGCTTGTAAAGCGGCACCAAAGCGTGACAAAGCTTGATTGAAGCGTCGGGGTCGTAATAGGTCGTAGAAAAGTTCGGAGTAAAGCGGGATATTCGGCAAGAGCGCCAAAATCTTTTAAACTGTTTAAAAATTTATGGCGCTCTGTTACGACTTGATTAAAGCGTCGAGAGCGTATCAAAGCTTAACAAACCGTAACAATGCTCAGCAAAGCTTGACCCAAAGCGTAGGAAAGCTTAACAGAGCTTGGTTCAAAGCGGGGACCCCAGTCTCTTCACGGCGGTCTGTTAAAATTTCACACGCTTCGTTAAGATGTCTCAAGATTTGCTACGATCTGGCATGAAGATCTGACACGAGGTCAGACGCTTTCATCAATATCTGACACTCTTTGTTACGCTTTCATGAAGGACTCCCAAGCTTTCCAACAAATTGAGACGCTTCAATCAAGAATTGAAACGCTTTGTTAGGCTTTGTTACGCTTGACAAGCTTCCTCATGCTCTCTCACGCTCTTTCACGCCGTGCGTCAAACATCATGTCTTATTTAGATAGGACATGCTCTGGTCTATCTGGAATTTCTGGATCTTGTTGTTCTGCCATCGTGTTCTCGAGTCAAAGATGCAATGGTTTTATGGATCTACTGCATCTTTATATAGTCATTGGATTAAAAGTGGCATGAAATCGGCGATCTCGACATTTTCCAATGCGTGACAGAGCTTAACAGAGCGTAACAATGCCCAACAGAGCTTGTCAATCGTATCAGAGCCTGATTTAAAGTGTCATAATCGCATCAAAGCGTAATAATGCTTATCAAAGCGTGATTTCAAGCGTAACAAAGCCTGGTCAAAGCGTGAGGAACCTATCAGCGCTATGTTAAGCTTTCCTACGCTTTGGGTCAAGCTTTTCTGAGCTTTGTTACGGTTTGTTCAGCTTTGATACGCTCTCGGCGCTTTAATCAATTCGTAACAGAGCGCCCAAAATTTTTAAACAGTTTAAAATTTTTCGGCGCTCTTGTCGAATATCCCGCTTTACTCCGAGCTTTTCTAAGACCTTTTACGACCCCGCCGGTTTAATCAAGCTTTGTTACGCTTTGGTGCCGCTTTACAAGCCGCTTTAAAGCGCCATCAAAGCGCCGTTGGTATGAACAAAAAATGACAAAAATGACGGCGCTTTGTTCGCCGATTTAAAGCGTGGCATTCGCCGTTAGTGTTAACATAGCTTAAAGGATTATATACCAGAGGGTTTTGAAATATATGGTTTATCGCGTAAGATAATTTGAAGTAGTCTTAACAGGCCCGTAGCCAGGGGGGGTTCGCAGGGTTCGGGCGAACCCCCCCCCCCCTGGCCAAAAATTCTTTCAAAATCATGCAGTTTTTCACCATTTTGAGCACTTCTCTTGTGATTTTAGCCATATTTGGGCCAAAATTGTCAAATGTGAACCCCCCCTGCAAATTTTTGAAAACTGAACCCCCCCTTGGCAAATCCTGGCTACGTGCCTGCTTAAATATCAATTTCCACTCTGTTTTGTCATAAATGTAAAAATACATAATACAAACTTTTTAAGTCATTTGAGAACAAATGTCTTGCGATCCGCACATGTGCAAGATCGTCCATAATTGATTCGCTTTGAAAGTGTTTTTATCTCAACTTCATTTCAATAAAGAAGATTTAAAAAGCTCATCAAGGTTGGACAATCTTGCTCTGGTTCTCATCGAAGAACTTCTATATATTATATTTTTTCTTCCCAAGCTCAAGTTTGAGATCTCTCCAGAATTTCCTTTGTTCTCTTTCATTTTCACTCCAATTCAGACAGACGTTGTTTCTCACCATCAGCTGTAGAGTCTCTGGCATCTCCTTTTTAGGAATGTTCTCCATCATTATCACTATGAGTGTGTGGCGCTTCGTTTGTTTCAACATGTCAACAGCAGCTTCCATCTCAAACTCGTTCATTCCTTCCTTCATCCAGCCGCGTGTCACCAAGAATATGACATGATGGCTTCTATCCATATGGCTAAAGATCCCTCCAAAATATGACTCCCCTCCAGTCGGGATAATATTGACATCATACATTAGAGTAAACTCAACTTCTCCATCATTCAATTCTGGTGTCATGACGTCAGTCATCCAGATTCTCTTCTCAGGATGATAGCTGACGAATGCATCATAAATTTCCTCCTCGGGGTCACCAACTTCATTT